TCTTCCGATTCACTTCAGTAGAAAGAAGCCAAAGCCCATATTTCTCCCGATCACCGCCACCGTCAGGCGGCTATAGGCGTAAATCGGTGTCAAGCCCTGGCCCCGGTTGCTCTGGTTTAACGGGGTTGGCAACGGCGGTGCTGGGGAAATTCATGATGAACGACAGCATCGTGTAAGGGCTAGCCCCATTCATATTCGCAGGTAGAGGTGGCAATTTCAATCCAATCCACCAATCCAATCCATCAATCCATTAAAAATATCCACCTAATCCAATCCATTTAAATCCAATCCATTTTATCCAAATTCAATTGGATTGGTGGATTCATGGATTGGATCCATGGATCATTGGCAAATTACGGTTTAGTACCTATAATTTTTATTTTTTACATTTTGGTACCTGAAATTTAATTTTTTATACGAAAAATATCATTGGAAAATTACGTTTTGGTACCTAAAATTTTTCGTTATGACATTTTAGTACCTAAACTTTTTACATTTTACATATTGGTCCTTGGTTGAGGATGTCATTTGGATTCATGGATAATCCACCAATCCACTTGATCCAATCCATGAATCCACCAATCCATTAGATCCATGGATCCACTAATCCAATCCACCAATCCACCAATCCAATTCATTTGCCACCTCTATTCGCAGGGATAAGCTGAAATTCAAACGTCCTCGGGCGGGCAGCATGCTGGTCTACTTGGGACCGGATATGGTAACAACACTATATTTGTTGTTATGGTGATAACAATATAAGGCAGCCAATAAGAAGCCATCCTTTTGCATACTTTTTAGTTTTATGGGTTGACTGAATTTCTGCAGGCTAAAAATTAAAAGAAGGCATTATGGTCACCACATTTTTTTCTACCCATGCCGCCCGCGTGTATTGAGCGTGCTTTCTTAGAGCAGGGCACGTGACCTGCACTTATCTGCCAAAGCCCATTTAATTAACTAATTATTTTATTGTTATTACTAATAATTATTGGCTGCCTAATGTTAGAGAAGCGCTAGCTTTTGGACCCAAAAAAAAAAACAAGCAGGATTTTTGTTCTATTTGGAAGATTACTTTCCATAGAAAAGGAAAGAATAAATAAATTGGAAATTAATAAATAGGATCCTCTTATGAATGAATGTGATCTGATTTATATAAATTTATAAATTAGTCTTGAGCCTCGTCGTTTATTTGAAATACGAACTTTTTTTGAAAAGAACTTTTCATATCTGACGGCAATGTTACGACACACATGAAAATGTAATGAATTATTATATAATGGTCACTCGCGGGAGTACAGTCAACGATCACTAGTCGCCGGATTTTGTGGTATGCATTATAGATTTATAATGTACTTTCTCGTGTTAATTGTGTGTTTTTATGGTTTGCTTTCTCGTGTTTCTTATATTTTTTTTATTTGTTTTCTCATGTTTTTAGTTTTCTTTTTCTAGTTTGCTTTATCGTGTTTGTGGTTTGCTTTATAATATTTGTGGTTTGCATTAAGAGGTTTCCGGTGTGCTTTCGAAATATTTTTGGTTTGCTTTGTGGAGTTTCTGGTATGTTTTAATAGATTTGTGGTCTGCATTAGAAGGTTTATGGTTTGGTTTTTGTGGTTTGTTTTACGGTATTCGTGGTTTGGATTATGAGATTTCTGGTGTGCTTTTGAAATTCTATGGTTTGCTTCGTGGGGTTTCTAGTATGTTTCATGAGACGTGTGGTTTGCATTAGGAGGTTTTTGGTATGCTTTTTGTAGGTTGCTTTATCGTGTTTGTGGTTTGCATTATGAGGTTTTTGGTGTGTTTTAAAAATATTTGTGGTTTGCTTTGTGATATTTCTGGTATGTATTAGGAGATTTGTGGTTTGCATTAGGAAATTTGTTGTATGCTTTTTGTGGTTTGTTTTGTAGTGTTTGTGGTATTCATTAAAATATTTCTTATATGTTTTAAAAATATTTGTGTTATAGTATCCGCGATCAAACTCATATCAACCACGACTAAACATTTCATTCAAAATACTTCATTATAGATCAATATAGTTCGCTTACTATGGTTTATTCTCCAACCCTCAAAACCAATACGAGAAATTGCACTATAAAATGACCAATCCAAAATGCATGGGAATGAATCATTTCCCCTGGAACGTTTTTTTTATAGAAATAAAATGGGGCAAATGTATACACATATTGGTACATAGTACATACTGATACTGTCTCTTTCTTTCTTTTCTTTTTTCCCCTTTGGAAATAATGTTGAGCGGCACCGGTTGCGAACGGGAGGAAGGAAGAGGGGTGCTACCACCGCCTCCCGCGACTCCACCGACAGAACCTTTCCTTCACCCCTTGTCGCAATTAACAAATTAGGCCGCCAATCACTATTGTGACCCTCTCTTCCCCTGTTCCAAAGGGCTCTCCATCTCTCCCATCGTACCTACAATCACCATCGTCACACTTTACAGCCTCCTCCGATACCACTATCACCGCATCCCACGACTTCATCGGAACAACTTCCTCCATTAACTCCTTCATTGCATCGTACGTCCGAACTTGCAAACGAGTTCCAGTTCCATCGACAAAATCGCAAGCCCCATTCCCTAATTGATTAGTCACTCGTCGGACCGATCTTGGGAACAAGGGAGGAAGCCGCTTCGACCTAACCGTCGATCACGCGGAGAAAGACGTCCACCAACTGAGACAGATCGAACTTCGGCGGCATGGTTACGGCGGGTGCGTAGAGGCAAACAGTACTTTAGGGTTTACGTTTGAGAACGGGGAATGATTTTGGGAGCGCATCATCTTCATGATTTATTTTAATTTTATTTTATTACTTTTTCGTAAGTTTACGGTTTAGCCCTTAATGAAACTTGTTGTTATTATAACAACATAGAGGGTGTTGTTATACTATCCGCACCCGGTCTACTTCTCCGCTTGACGGCTTTGGAGCCACGACGTCCTGTGCATATTGCGAACTGCTCTGGCTAACAGGGGGCTGGGCCGGCGGCGAATTAAAAATATCCTCCAAGCAGATCAACTTCAGAGTCTTCAGGGGATCCGAATCTTGCTGCTGCTGCTGCTCTTCTCCCTTGGGCAATTCCGAGTTCTTGAAGACCAGATAATCGAGCTCGATGATGGGTTCTTCTTTATCCTCTATTTCTCGATTCTCTGATTTTCCCTCCGGCGGGAGTTCCTTATACCAAGATACTCTGATTGCCGATTCTTCTCCGTCTTCGTTTGATGGTTCTTCGTGATTACTGATCAGTTCTTTGTCTTCAGTAGATGGTTGGTCTCCGGCGGATGATTCGCCGTCGCTGGCGGATGGTTCGCCGTCACGAGTTTGTCCTTCTGCTCCTGCACTTTTAGGTGCACTAGGATGATCGATGAGGATGATGACAGAGGTCACGTAATGTTTGGCCGGCCATTGGGCTGCATCCCGATCCTTCAGAGCTTTGAGGCGATTCACTGTTTTTGGAACGAGGTGGCATATCGTGGGGTGATCATTGATGGACTAGAGCTGGTTATTTTGCACATACGAGAAGCAGGTGACCGCAAATGGCCTAGTGAGCTTGTTGAAGTCTTTGCCCCAAAGCTTCAAAAATTCACCTGGGAAGTCGGCTATCAGAGAGGGAGGTTAAGAAGGCTTTACATACCTTCGATCGAGCAAGCAGCAGTGGTCTTTCGCCGGAGAAATAGCCAAAACGAGCTATTGTGGCGTCTAGTCCCTGCGTTTCAAAACGCAAAAGTTATTACACTTGGTCTGGTGTTTATCCTGGACGATGAGGACTATGGTGATTTTGTAGCAGATATAAGGAGGATGATATCAAACCCGCCATTCAGAAATTTGGAGAGGCTGAGAATTGTGAGGCAACAACAAGAGCAGGAGCGGAAGGACAAACTCGTGACATGTGGAAAGATTATACCGAGTGGGCCCACGGAATCTGAAATTGGCAACCTAGTAGACAGTGTCCTGCACTTGTTGTCACCTCACAATTCTCAGCCTCTCCAAATTTTCAAATGGCGGGTTTGATATCAACCTCCTTATATCTGCTACAAACTCACCATAGTCCTCATCGTCCAAGATAAACCCCAGACCAAGTGTAATAACTTTTGCGTTTTGAAACGCAGGGACTAGACGCCCCAATAGCTCGTTATGACTATTTCTCCGGCGAAAGACCACTGTTGTTTGCTCGATCGAAAGTATGCAAAGCCTTCTTAATCTCCCTCTCGGATGGCCGGCTTCCCAAGTGAATTTCTACAGATTTTGGGCAAAGACTTCAACAAGCTCACAAGGCCATTTGCGGTCACCTTCTTCTCGTATGTGCAAAATAACCAGCTCTGGTCCATCAATGATCACCCCACGATATGCCCCCTCGTTCCAAAAACAGTGAATCGCCTCAAAATCTCTGAAGGATCGGGGTGCAGTTCAACGACCGGCCAAACATTACGTGACCTCTGTCATCATCCTCATCGATCATCCTAGTGCACCTGAAAGTGCAGGAGCTGAAGGACAAACTCGTGACATGTGGAAAGATTATTCGAATGGCGGGTTTGATATCATCCTCCTTATATCTGCTATAAACTCACCATAGTCCTCATCTCCAATAGCTCGTTTTGGCAATCTCTATTATATCCAATAATCTAACACTGCCTTCCAATGTGCCAAAAACTTCTCGATCATACCAAGACTTCAGACCTACACAAGTTATTTTCTATAAGAGATGACAGAAAACAATCAGGTGATGGAATCGTATAACACAATTATGAAGTTCAAATTCAAACCTCGCTTGATGGCACTCCAATGGCAGTGCACACCATGCTAGTCTGAGAAGTCAAATAAGATCATTGAAGCCCACCTTACAAGAAAGATACAAATATAATAATTTCAGTGTTTGGTTCTAACCTCTAAGTTGTCCTTAAAACGAGAAGACGATAACAAGTAGATTCAGATGACATGACAACTGCCTACCTTCCATTCCATCGGGAATCTGTTGGACGAACACAAATCCTGTATCATGTTAGATAAGAAGATGCAATCTTCATCCACGCGGAAAAACACAAGTTCGAAATATTTTCTGGCAAATCCACCTGCAAAAATATTAAGGAACGTCATACACTATAAAGTTCTGAAGCAAGATTTGCTTTTGAACATTCTTATAAAAGAAGACGAATGGACTCACATTTGTCCATGATGCTGAATATTTTTCCGTAGATAGCAACCAACTACTCACATCCGCAGCTTCCAAACCAACTCCTAAATCATTAAAACTATTGTGCTCCAACAACTCATCATTGTCATCATCGAAGTTTCTTCTCCTCTTCTTTCTCCTTTCCTTCTTCTTCTTGTGCTTCTTCCTCTTAGTCGATTCTCCACTCCCCAAATCTGATTCACTGTCTTCATTTATCAGAACATATTTGTTTGTCCTCCTAAAACAGATTCCATTATCTGAAAACAAAGATTCCCATGCCTCAGGTTTCCTGCACTGCTCTGACAACCAATACTGAATAATCCATGACTGAATCCCTAATAGCTTAATCACTTCTTCTCTTGCTTTTTTCCCCTTTTGAGCACTCTCTCAACAGAGGGTCAAGGTGTTAGCATCGCTCAGTATTCTGCCCATCTTTGTAATAATATCATCAATCTCCAATCTCTGCTCCTCAAAATCCTCGTCGTTAACTAGCCTCAAGAGATGGCGTCCATGATTTATGACCCCGTTGACCAAAAGCACCTGATCAATAGACCCACCATTTTCAGAAAGCAGTATCTCGAGCCAAGAAGCAACACCACCTTCTTCTGACCAGGGTTTTAGATTCCTACGAAGCAACTCAAGGAAATAAGAGAATTCCTTCTCTTCTAGAACTATGAGGAGATGGTGACATAGAGAAGAGAAAGGCTCCTCCATGAGAAACTCATTGACAAGATCCCACACATCTTTTGAATCATCCTTGAACATCAATCTGACAAAGAAGTCAAGAAAGAACTTTTGATCGATTTCTAGAATCTCACCATCTTTGAGTGACTCTTGGAATTCAGTGGATGACCAGAATTCAGGGACGTGTTTGATGAAATTCTCTACTGTTTGACTTACATCTAGATCGAGAAGGTAATGCGGCTTCCTTGCTACTACATCAGGCGATTGTCCATGCTTCCCTCTCCACTCAAGCTCCTCCCAACAGTTGTCGCAGTTCACAAATGCAAACCGAAACAATGCCTTGGCGCCCTTTTTGTGCTCTAATCCAGCTCCATTAGCAAAGTCAGAAAACCAGTCAGATATTTGCATAGGGTTTCCTGCAAAAGAAACAGAACTGTTAAGACAAAAAGCCTATCATGTGAAGGAGTACAAACTACTACCAAAAGGGAAATTGAATGAACTTGCCTTCGAAGAATCTCTCGAGCACATGACTCCTTTTCGATATAATACCGCCTGCTCTGCGAGCCCTCTTTGTGAATATCATCTCCAATAGCTGAGTAGCTATCCCTAGCTGTGTAGGCTTCGTTCTCAGTAGCTTCACGAAGATGTCTCGTTGCTGGCTGGGAGTTATCGATTCAATGCCTCCAATCGTGTTGCACAGCCATAAACGAGCTTCTGATCGACCTGAAGCTATCATCGATGACCAAAGAACAGAATCTAACTGATTCCAGAGTGAAACCCACCTCTCCCCCAATTCACTATCTCCATCAAAATCCCCATTTGAATTCGGATTCGAGAGAAGCAACTGCACCATTCCTACTAAAAAAGAGTAATCAGACTAATCAGAATCAACGATCGAGAAAGCAAATTTGCACCCGGGAGAAAAAATCAGTTCTGCATTCTCGTTACTATTTTTTCTGTTGCGGCGGAAAATCAAAGATGTTGCCAAGAAGAGAAATCGAAAATGCAATTGAAGAAATTAAAAGCGAGGTGAGGATTTAAGGGGAGGGAGAGGGAATCAGACCTTGGCTGGGAGCTCTGACGTAAATTGAGGCAGCCGGAGAAACTGCGAGAAAAGGCAGAAGGAGCTTTTCGCTCGCGCGGCGGCGGGTCAGATGACCGGAGTAGCAGCCGGAAACTTACTCAGCTCCTCCCGATTTGGATTTCGCAAGGATTCTTAAACTTCGCAAGCGGAGTAAAAACGACATCGTTTGACACAAGCTTCACGACGTTTCAGAAACCGCTCTACGTCGAGATTGGCATGTGATTACCGTTAAGTCCTCCTTCCTTCCCATCCTTCGACCGTTAAGCCCGAGTAGTCCGAAACCAAATAGGAAAAGGAATGCCGTACATCTACAGTTCTACATGCATATATAAATACACATTCGTCCTTTTTTTTTTTTTTTTTTTTCTCATTCCTTCCCATCCCAGCTCTGACCTTCGCCACAACAATGGATTATTCGCTACTGCCGGAGGATATATCAACCAAGATAGCGACGGAGCATCTGGGGATCTTTTCACCGAACTGCATCCCCTTCTCCGGCGTCTGCAAATCATGGAGATCCCTCTCCCTCCGGCTCCACGGCGGCCGGTGGCCGCCCCTGCCAGGACTGCTCATGTCCAGATCCAGCAAGGGGTACAGTGATAATAATCCCGGCGAAGCCCATGTGTTTCATCCCCTCGCCACTTCGTGGAAGCCGCGCAACTTCACCATCCCTTACTTCCCGTCAAGCGCCAAAATGTCATCATCCAAGCGCCGCCGCTACTACAACCGCCTCCGCAAAGAATCCGTTGCTGACGTCCTTAACCCCGACGTCGACCACATAGACGACTACAACGTCTTCCCACCGTTGACTTCGAAAGACGGGTGGATGCTCTGCACGCTCCCCAGCTGCTGCCGCCACATGCACCCGCTGGAGCTCTACCTCCTCAACCCGCTCACCGGCGCCTCCATCCCTCTCCCTCCTCTCTTCACCTCCTACACCTCCATCCATCGAGCCCTCATCTCTTCTTCCCCAGATGCAGACGACGACGAACAACAAGGCTGCTACGTCTTCATCCTGGGACAAACCTGGTCTGCCTGGTGTAAGGTCAGCCTGCAGACAGAAACTGGTGGTGGTTGGAAGTTCTTCGATAGTTCCACCATTTCAAGCAGGTCGGGGAATGGTATTAGCGATGCTAGCTATTTCGGAGGCAAACTCTACGTCCTATCGGGCAGGAAGGTCCACGTGATTGATCATCATCGTTGTGATGATAACCTATTAGTGGAAACAGGAGGTGCGATCCCTTTCTCCGATGCCATGTCGAGCCATTTTCGCTGCACCATTACTAACAGACGGGATTACCATTCTTTTCTGTGCCACGTCAAAGGTCATGCGCACATCCTCCTGTTCAATCTGGACGACGCCACAATCAAGGTGTACAAGCTGCTAGAAACTGTTTCGACGAGGAGGAGGAAGAAGAAGAAGAAGATTGATTATGAGTGGCAGCGAGTTTGGAGTTTGGACGGGCATGCTGTGTTCATCGGGTGCCACCAGTCCTTTTCCCTTCCGGCGCCATCGACCGCCGCTGCTGGGTACAGAGCCGACTGTATCTACTTCGCACTGGATTACACCGCACCATTTTCCGAGCGGATCACCGTCTACCAATGGATGGATTATACTCTGCCGTTTCCGTTGTTGCCGGACCGTGCCAGGCGGAATGGTGTCTTTGATCTTGCTGAGGGAAGCGTGGAAGGCCTGGCTTCTGATCATAAAGCCGAAACGCGTTATGGTAGGCCAGAAACTAGTTTCTGGTTCCTCCCTATGCCCTGGTAATTTCTCTTGTCGCTTCTTTCGTCTTGCTCTTTACCTTGCATGCAAGCTTCTCGTACGCGTAGACAATATAATAAACGTAATATATAAAATAAACCTGTACGCAGGGATATGTCGTCTAAGCTACAGAAAGCCAAGAAACAGAAGTACAGTGTGCTGCAAGAAGACAGTCGAGAATCATCGGCAGAGAAACGGAAGTACTAGCTAGCAAGTTTCTAGCTAGTAATTAAACTAAAAAAAATGGAAAGAATAGCACACAAAAATTGAAGGAAATATATGGTTGCTATTTGTTATTCTGTATGTGTAAAACTCAACGTGCATCAACATCTTTGGGTTTACACAACTTACAAGAGTGAAAAAAATTATTGACAACTTAGATATATATGAAGTAACCATTTATACAAGTTCGGATGTGCATTGAAAATCAGCGGTTAATTAGCAGCCATGGATCGGTTGTAATTAGGTAGAGGTTTCTGCCTCTTGTGAGGCTGCTGCTGCCCCTGTAATTTGGTTCTTTTTCTTCTTTCCTTTCTTCCTTCTCCTCTGCTGATTTTTGCTTGCTGTACTTTTAGTGTTTGCCCTGCAATCAGAACAATAAACGTTTGGTATCATGATAATACCACTAGCCTACAACTATAGTACATTAATAATCACAAAAAATTAAAAACTTATATCACTATTATCAAAAATAATAATAAGGTCATCATTCTATTCTCCTCGAGGAGAACATCATCACAAAAGCCTGGAAATCTTAAATTACCAGGGCACAGGGATGAACCTTAGTTGTTGGGAAGGAAAAGGATTGGTGAGCCCCGATGAACACTGCATGGCCATCCAGACTCCACACGTGTTCCCAATCCGAATGCTAGCGAGATTAGAGGCGACCACATTTACTTTGCACTGAATCGTGTTTGTGAGCATTGGGAATCTTTTGGAGCGGCGAATCGGGATGGTGCATTTGATCTTGCAAACCGGAAGTTCCAGAGGTTTGCTCATGATGAACGTTACTTTGATAACAAGACGCGGGACGCCATCTTTTGGTTCATCCCTGTGCCCTGGTAAGTTAACCTTTTCAGGCTTTTGTGATGATGTTCTTGAGGAGAATAGAATGATGACATTATTATTGCGATTGCAGGGTAAACACTAAAAGTACCGCAAGCAAAAATGAACAGAGGAGAAAGAAGAAAGGAAAGAAGAAAAAGAAACAAATTACAGGGACAGCAGCAGCCTCACAAGAGACACAGACGTCTACCTAATTAAAACCCAAGACATTATAAGCTCGTCGGATTTGATGCTCTTGGTTCGCTGATCTCCAGGATATAGCATGTGTTTGACGGAGCTACTTGCATCTAGAGATGCTATATATTGGTGCTTGTGGATGGTCGGCTGTGCGGAGTTTTGGTGTTGGTCAACTCTAGACGGTGAATTGTGTTGTGACACGTCTTTTGATATTTTACTAGCATAAGCCAGCTCGTTAATGGAGTTGGACGGAAGCTAATGGAGAGTGACTAAATGTAACATGTTTCAGTAATTTGAGTGATATTCATAAAATATAAAAAGTAATTCGAGTGACCGGAGCTGGACGGAGGCAACGAGAGAGTAACTAAATGTGACGTGTTTTAGTAATTTGAGTGACCAAAACTGATATTAATTTTTTCTAGTGACTAAATATAACACGATTTAGTAATCCCAGTGACCAAATATGACATTTACCCGCAAAATATGTGCAAATTGTACATAAAATGTTGAACAAAATAAGAACGTACTAATTGTTAAAAAGTAAAAGTATAGCAAAGTGTGTAAGTCATCTTATATATCATAATAAATAGGTTTAATACACTTGTATATCCAAAACTTTCACGGTTGTGCCAATAATATCCAAATTTCCTGAAATACCACTTATAGCCATGTTCTAAAGTTGTTCTTTGCCAAATCTATTCATTTCCGTTAGAAACTTTAACGGTGTTAATAACACCGTCAACTTATTTGACGGTTCGCTGACTAGACGCCAACTCAACGGACATGTCAGCGCCAAATAGGCAAATAATGACACATCAGATATTTAAATTATTTATTATTTACACATCATAATTATTAAAAAATTAATATCCTCCATTTCGCACAATCTGAATCCCCCAACTTTTCCCCAATTTTGAAATTAGGGTTCTTCCCCTCTTCCGCCTCTTCAGCCGCCTCCGTCCACCACATCTCGTTGCGGCTACTGGAGTCAATAAACGAGAATTGCAACAACGGCGGACTCCTCCACAACCAGAATGGTGGTATCGCCGCGTAGCTGAATCGCGACCCGGAGGACGAGAGGAGTTTTGGATTTTGGGCCACTCGATGTGCTTCAAGAGGCGTCGCCCCGATTTCGAAATTCAGTGCGGTCCGGCCAAGAGGCCAGTCATGGCGAGCGAATCGGATTTGCAGGAGCGTCGAAGCTCGATGAAGGCTTGGGGAAACCAGCTGATTTGCGAGGCAGATCCGGAGCTGTTTTAGATCATGGGCAAGGAGAAGGAGAGGCAGTTCAAAGGAATTGAGCTTATCGCGTCGGAGAATTGGGGTGTTAAGAACAAGGATAGGCCGGCATCGCACTCGAAATCGCAAAGCCTCCCTCATCTGGGCGAAGGAATGGTGGAGTTTTGGGTTCGACGAGGCGGAGAAGCGGCAGCGACGGCTGGTGGAGCTGAGTAATCAAAGAGGGAAGGAGGGAGTGTGCGTTTGGTGGCGACCTTTCATCTCCTTTTTTTATTTTACTTTTTATTTTTTTAAACTTAATCCAGCGTGGAATTGTTGCTGGAGAAACTCGCCAACTCAGCATTTCCGTTAGTCGAGTCAGCTTATTAGCTGACACCGTTAAAGAATTCGATGGAAGTGGCTATAAGTGGTATTTCGTCAAATTTGGATATTATTGGCACAACCATGAAAGTTTTGGATATACAAGTGTATTTAACCTAATAAATATGACTTTTGTGAAAAAAATTAAAACAGAGTTTAAAAATAAAAGTTAAACATTTTATATTCATCACAATCGAACTCGTACACATAGGATTGTATAATTCACATTAGCACGTAATTTCAAATTACATTATGGTCCAATATCATAACAATGGTTTAAAAAATCAAAGTATCAAATCGAAAAGAACAAGAAATAACTTTTTTGTCATGTGAGCTGGGGAAAGTTAATCTGTTAACTTGAAGATTCGTTAGCAGATACTAACTGATATCCAAAATATATAAACTAATATTCAAGTACTACAGTATGTAGATAGCACAAATTAGTATTCAAAGTTTGCTAACTGATATTCACAATGAATCAACTATTATCCCAAATTCACAAACTAATATCTAGACAACACAAAATGGTATACAAACAGCACATAATTAGTATTCAGATAACACATAAGAGTATCCAGATAACCCATAAGAGTATCCATATTGAATACTAGTTGGTTGATTGTGGATATTAGTTGATATTTGCTATCTGGATACTAATTTGTGATGTTTTGAATACTAATCTGTGCTATCTAGATACTTAGCAGACTTGGATATTAGTTCATACATTTTGAATATTAGTTAGTATATACTATCGAATCTTCAAGTTAGCAGAATAACTAGGCTGGTGTGAGCTTAGGATTTGTGTTTTTGAATGACCAACAACCACCCACTATGCACCGAATAAGTGCAGGTAGAATTTTTTTATTCACAATCTACTCATATCAATCACTCATTTAGGAATGGCAATGGGCAGGTCCGGGACGGGTTTCTTGGTACCCAGACCCGTCCCGTGGCAGGTCAGGTCCAAGTCGGGTAATTTATCACGGGTCGGGGCAGGTCGACCCAATGGGTATGCAATTTATATGAGAAACATTAGGAATATTCGTTATTTTATTATAAGACCAAGAAAACAAACAATATTATGATAAATGTAGTTAAATTATTAGAGAAATTGAGGTTTTTACTAATTTACAACTTTATTATAGCTAAATTATGATGTAATAAAAGAAAAATCCTAAGCAATTTGACTAAGATTACATGTAACTTAGGTAAGAACGCGTCGAGAATGGGGCGGGTCAAGGCAAATCGGGTCGATAAGAGTACCCATGCCCGACCCGCCCCAAAACAGGCCAAACAAGCCGGGTAAAACAGGCCAGGTCGAAATTGCCATCCCTACACTCATTCACTATGGTTTGAATTATTTATGGATGGTCAATATCAAACTGCGAATTAGCCACTTATCTTACCAACCCTTTAATATAGCAAACCAAAGATATAGAGAAATTCATTCTTAAAATTAATTTCGGGTTAAAGCAAACATATTTTTATTAATTTTTCTTAAACTACAGTTAAAATAATGATTTATTCCAAAAGTAAAAAAAAGTATTTAAATCTAAAATTCAACACATTAAAATATTCAATTAAAACTTTATCCCCTTACATGAAAAATTCATTCTTAAAACTAAACCTTTTAATATTTATTTCTAAAAAATTTCTATTACTTTATTATTATTGAAGATACTATTCACTAATCAACTATCTTTCTATTGATAACGAAATGCATCATTCTCATCAAATTTAATTTTTATGAACTCCTAGAAAATATACTTTTCGTCGAACTAAGGACAAGTTACTCAAAAAGTTTTTTTTAAACCCACAAATATGAGAAAAAAATAATATTATCATAATCGATGCTCAACTAGAAAACTTAACGATTTATGGTTCAACTGTTAAACACTATAGAACCATTGGTTACCCATCGATAAAACCATTCATGTACTATATAACTTACACCATATATAACTGAATTTATCATTTAACTAGAAAAAATTCAAAATCTATTATAATCAATCATAAAAATTTCCAACAATCATATATTATCATGATCCAACACAATGTCAAGGATATCATAGGTCGAAACGTTTCCGGACAACGAATATAGACACAGAAACGTTTCTTTCTAGAGAAAAAAAGGTACAGACTTACCAAGTGAAACAACGCCATCGAACAAGGTTAAAGAGATCGAGATCGTTTTGAGATGAAATGGATGATTAGAAGAACAGGCATTCCATTAATACTTAAATTTGAGATTGTATACTAACACTATATTTGTCAAGTAATTGTGACGCCTAAAGTACTCATCGTACATACTTCGAAGAACAATTCACAAGAGGTTTTATTATCATTTGCAAATCATAATCCCAAGTACAGTGGAAATCGTATGTGCTCTTTATGGCCTTAACAGAGTTGTAAGAATTTTACAACTGTGATCCAAAGAATCAAATCTGAAACTCTCATGACTAACTAGTAACTACCACAGCAAAAACAAAATCGAGTTTGTCCTTCCGCTCCTGCACTTTTAGGTGCACTAGGATGATCGATGAGGATGATGACAGAGGTCACGTAATGTTTGGCCGGCCGTTGGACTGCACCCCGATCCTTCAGAGCTTTGAGGCGATTCACTGTTTTTGGAACGAGGGGGCATATCGTGGGGTGATCATTGATGGACCAGAGCTGGTTATTTTGCACATACGAGAAGCAGGTGACCGCAAATGGCCTAGTGAGCTTGTTGAAGTCTTTGCCCCAAAACTGCAAAAATTCACTTGGGAAGCCGGCTATCCGAGAGGGAGGTTAAGAAGGCTTTACATACCTTCGATCGAGCAAGCAACAGTGGTCTTTCGCCAGAGAAATAGCCAAAACGAGCTATTGTGGCGTCTAGTCCAAGCTTTTCAAAACGCAAATTATTACACTTGGTCTGGGATTTATCCTGGACGATGAGGACTATAGTGAGTTTGTAGCAGATATAAGGAGGATGATATCAAACTCGCCATTCAGAAATTTGGAGAGACTGAAAATTGTGAGGCAACAACAAGAGCAGGAGCGGAAGGACAAACTCATGACATGTGGAAAGATTATACCAAGTGGGCCCACGGAATTCGAAATTGGCAACATGGTAGACAATGTCCTGCTCTTGTTGTCGCCTCACAATTCTCAGTCTCTCACAAACTCACCATAGTCCTCATCGTCCAGGATAAACCCCAGACCAAGTGTAATACCTTTTGCGTTTTGAAACGTAGGGACTAGACGCCCCAATAGCTCGTTTTGGCTATTTCTCCGGCGAAATACCATTGCAGCTTGCTCGATCGAAGATATGCAAAGCCTTCTTAACCTCCCTCTCAGATAGCCGGCTTCCCAAGTGAATTTCTAAAGATTTGGGGCAAAGACGTCAACAAGCTCACTAGGCCATTTGCGGTCACCTGCTTCTCGTATGTGCAAAATAACCAGCTCTGGTCCATCAATGATCACCCCACGATATGCCCCTCGTTCCAAAAACAGTGAATCGCTTCAAAAGCTCTGAAGGATCGGGGTGCAGTCCAACGGCCGGCCAAACGTTACGTGACCTCTGTCATCATCCTCATCGATCATCCTAGTGCACCAAAAAGTGCAGGAGCTGAAGGACGAACTCGTGACATGTGGAAAGATTATACCGAGAGTGGGCCCACGGAATCCGAAATTGGCAACCTGGTAGACAGTGTCCAGCTCTTGTTGTTGCCTCACTATTCTCAGCAAATTTTCAAATGGCGGGTTTGATATCATCCTCCTTATATCTGCAATCTCTCTTATATCCAATAATCCAACACTGCCTTCCAATGTGCCAAAAACTTCTCGATCATACCAGGACTTCAGACCTACACAAGTTATTTGCTATGAGAGATGACAGAAAACAATCAGGTGTTGAGAATCTTATAACACAATTATGAAGTTCAAATTCAAACCTCGCTTGATGGCTCTCCAATGGCAGTGCACACCATGCTAGTCTGAGAAGTCAGATAAGATCATTGAAGCCCACCTTACAAGAAAGATACAGATATAATAATTTCAGTGTTTGGTTCTAACCTCTAAGTTGTCCTTAAAACGACAAGACGATAACAAGTAGATTCAGATGACATGACAACTGCCTACCTTCCATTCCATCGCGAATCTGTTGGACGAACACAAATCCTGTATCATGTTAGATAAGAAGATGCAATCTTCATCCACGCGGAAAAACACAGCTTCGAAATATGTTCTGGCAAATCCACCTGCAAAAATATTAAGGAACGTCATACACTGCAAAGTTGTGAAGCAAGATTTGCTTTTGAACATTCTTATAACAGAAGACGAATAGACTCACATTTGTCCATGATGCTGAATATTTGTCCGTAGATAGCAACCAACTACTCCCATCCGCAGCTTCCAAACCAACTCCTAAATCATTAAAGCTTCCAAACCAACTCCTAAATCATTAAAACTATTGTGCTCCAACAACTCATCATTGTCATCATCGAAGTTTCTTCTCCTCCTCTTTCTTCTTTCCTTCTTCTTCTTGTGCTTCTTCCTCTTAGTCGATTATCCACTCCCCAATTCTGATTCAGTGTCTTCATTTATCAGAAAATATTTGTTTGTCCTCCTAAAACAGATTCCATCATCTGAAAACAAAGATTCCCGTGCTTCAGGTTTCCTGCACTGCTCTGACAACGAATACTGAATAATCCATGACTGAATCCCCAATAGCTTAATCACTTCTTCTCTTGCTTTTTTCCCCTTTTGAGCACTCTCTCAACAGAGGGCTCAAGGTGTTAGCATCGCTCAGGATTCTGCCCATCTCTGTAATAATATCCTCAATCTCCAATCTCTGCTCCTCAAAATCCTCGTTGTGAACCAGCCTCAAGAGATGGCGTCCATGTTTTATGACCTCGTTGACCAAAAGCACCCGATCAATAGACCCGCCATTTTCAGAAAGCATTATCTCGAGCCAAGAAGCAACACCACCTTCTTCTGACCAGGGTTTTAGATTCCTACGAAGCAACTCAAGGAAATAAGAGAATTCCTTCTCTTCTAGAACTATGAGGAGATGGTGACACAGAGAAGAGAAAGGCTCCTCCATGAGAAACTCATTGACAAGATCCCGCACATCTTTTGAATCATCCTTGAGCATCAATCTGACAAAGAAGTCAAGAAAGAACTTTTGATCGATTTCTAGAATCTCACCATCTTTGAGTGACTCTTGGAATTCAGTGGATGACCAGAATTCAGGGACGTGTTTGATGAAATTCTTTACTGTTTGACTTACATCTAGATCGAGAAGGTAATGCGGCTTTGTTGCTACTACATCAGGCGATTGTCCATGCTTCCCTCTCCACTCAAGCTCCTCCCAACAGATGTCGCGGTTCACAAATGCAAACCGAAACAATGCCTTGGCGCCCTTTTTGTGCTCTAATCCAGCTCCATTAGCAAAGTCAGAAAACCAGTCAGATATTCGCATAGGGTTTCCTGTAAAAGAAACAGAATTGTTAGGACAAAAAGCATATCATGTGAAGGAGTACAAACTACTACCAAGAGGGAAAGTGAATGAACTTGCCTTCGAAGAATCTCTGAAACATGACTCCTTTTCGATATAATTCCGCCTGCTCTGCGAGCCCTCTTCGTGAATATCATCTGCAATAGCTGAGTTGCTAATCCTAGCTATGTAGGCTTGGTTCTCAGTAGTTTCACGAAGATATCTGGCTGCTGGCTGGGAGTTATCGATTCAATGCCTCCAATTGTGTTGCACAGCAATAAACGAGCTTCTGATCGACCTGAAGCTGTCATCGATGACCAAAGAACAGAACCTAACTGATTCAAGAGTGAAACCCACCTCTCCCCCAATTCACTATCTCCATCAAAATCCCCATTTGAATTCGGATTCGAGAGAAGAAACTGCACCATTCCTACTAAAAAAGAGTAATCGGACTAATCAGAATCAACGATCGAGAAAGCAAATTTGCACCCGGGAGAAAAATCAGTTCTGCATTCTCGTTACTATTTTTTCTGTTGCGGCGGAAAATCAAAGACGTTGCCAAAAAGAGAAATCGAAAATGCAATTGAAGAAATTAAAAGCGAGGTGAGGATTTAAGGGGAAGGATGTGCGCTACTTACTGGAAACCACATGATGAAGTAACCATTTATACAAGTTCGGATGTGCGCTACTTACTGGAAACCACATGATGATATTGAAAATCAGAGGTTAATTAGCAGCCATGGATTGGTTGTAATTAGGTAGAGGTTTCTGCCTCTTGTGAGGCTGTTGGTACCCCTGTAATTTGTTTCTTTTTCTTCTTTCCTTTCTTCCTTCTCCTTTGCTGATTTTCGCTTGCTGTACTTTTAGTGTTTGCCCTGCAATAGGAACAATAAGGGTTCGGTATCATGATAATACCACTAACCTACAACTTGGAGGTCTCAGGTTGGAATCCCTTATATAGTACATTAATAATGTCTATCATTCTATTCTCCTCAAGAACATCATCATATGCCTGGAAAACTTAACTTACCAGGGCACAGGGATGAACCAAAAGATGGCATCTCGCGTCTTGTTATCACCGTAAAGTTCATCATGAGCAAACCTCTGGAACTTTCGATTGGCAAGATCAAATGCACCATCCCAATCCGGCGCTCCAAATGATTCCAGATGCCCACAAACACGATTCAGTGCAGAGTAAATGTAGTCGCCTCTAATCCCGCTAGCATTCGGATTGAGAATACTAGTCGCCTGACTAGCAATAGCATCAACCTTAGTTGGGAAGGCAAAAGATTGGTGAGTCCCGATGAACACAGCATGCCCGTCCAGACTCCACACTTCTTCCCAATACTCACCCCTGTCAACATTACCACTAGGAAAATAATCCAAAACCCTATCGAGCCCTTTGCCTTCATCGACGAGCTTGAACACACGGAATCCCACGTAGTAGTCCCCTTTACAATCAGGGAGAATTACGCGAACCTGGCCGCCGCCGTCGAGGTGACACAAGTAGGGATGAGTCCCCGACACCGGCGCGCAGCCGTTTTGGGCGTCGAACGATTTCATGTGGCCAGAATAAGGGAACGCCTTCACGATGGGTCCCGCCGCGGCGGAGAAGGGTTTGAGTATGTCGTGGACGACCCAGAGCGCATCTTCACCGGCTAGGTAGAGGTTGCCGTTGGAGTAGCAGGCGTCTAGGGGTGTATAGTCACGTACACAGACAAGGCAATTCTTTGGCGGGTAAGTCCAGCCGCCGCCGCCTCCTCCTGGCCCGACCTTGCACCACGCCAACAATTTCTTCCGCAACCCCGAAAGGGTGAACACGTGGCAGTCTTGGTCGCCGTCAGGGGAAGAAGAGATGATGGCTTTTAGATCGAAGCTGGAGGATTCGGATTTGAGGAGAGGAAGCGGGATGGAGGCGCCGGTGAATGGGTTGAGGAGGTAGAGGTCGAGATGGCGGCCGCGGGAGTCCCCGTGGAAAGGGAGCTCTCGGAGGATCCAGCCGTCCTTGGAAGCCAACGAGCTGGCCTCGACGTTGTAGGGTGAGGATTGCTCGGCTTCTCCGGGGAAGGTGGTGATGAATTCTTGGTGGAGGAGGAGGTAGCGATCCCGCTGGCCGTGGGCGTCCGACATCTTGGAGGGAGACGGGAAGAGAGGGAGGGAGATTGACGGCGGCGGCGGAGGGGTGGTAGGGATGACTGATGAGTGTAGGGAGGGAGACGAAATCATGGATTTGGCCTCTCGACGCAGCGGCAGGAGATAGGGATGCGGCGGAGGCGGCTGTTTCGGGGACTAGCAGTCCCGGGGGGCGGCGGAGGTGGACGGCGGCGGATCTCCATGATCTGCATACGGCGGAGAAGGAGACGAGGTGGGAGACGGTGTCCAAGAGCTGGGACGCTATCTTCTCTGTGATCTCCTTTGGTAAATCCCGAGTAATCCATCTATGGCTAATGGCGGCACCGGCGACGGAGGACCAACACTATAGCTAGGGTTTTGAGATGGTTCTGGAAGCTGAAAACAAAAAGAATATTGTATTTAGTAGTTAGGTTCTTATGCTGTCGCTGTTAATTCTTTTATTTAACGGGATAATAGAGGGGAAAAAAGGAACAATTAACTACCTTTAGCAACAAGTGCGGTAGGTTAGGTTCTCTTTGAATCAATGAACTCTTTCTTTTAGTAAGTTTTTGTGTAATTAATTAACTTGCAGATTGCTGAGTTTATGAGTTTTCCATATCATCCGCATCTAAAAACAAAACAACATGTTGAACCTGATATTTATGAGTTTCTGGGAGCGAGTTTAACCCACTTTTGTAATTGGTGGATCAAATCGGATGTGAATTTTATTAAAACTCGATCCGTTTTCCATCCTACTCGCACAGGAAAAAAAACAATGTTGAATTCCAAGAATAACTTACTTTGTATAGCTTTTGAAAACACTCTATTATTATGAGATGAAATAGCAGACAGCATTTAAATTAGGCTACAAATGACCTAAATGGCTAAATCTCATTTATTTTGAGACATTTTTGTCGTATTGAGTACTTGAGCATATACTTGACAACAACTAGAATTGTGTAATGGTATTATCCCTTAAGCTTATTATGTGATAAATCGATAATGTCACTACTCATAATATTAACTATGGGTAAATTGCAAGGTTGGTCATTGAAATGACTAAAAAGCAAAGTTTGGTCACTAAAAAGTTTTAAGTTTGGTAACTGAGATTAGTTTAATATTCCATATTTTGTCACCCTCCATTAGTCTCTGTTAGCCTTCGTTAACGTGTCGACCAGCCACGTCGTTAAACTCACCCAAAGTCAGGAGTCGACCTGGCATGTCCAAACTTAAAAAAAAAAAACATTACAGCGATAGAGTTGGATTTTCGCATGAAGGCCACCGAAACCATCGTCAATCCCACAAACTAAAACATCCAAGGAAGCACTATCATCGCCCCCATTGGAGAATCCACAACCGGAGGAGAACCCATCTTCGTCACCACCACCACCACAACCAAACTCATCAAGCCAGCAGCCCCCACAACCACAGGCACAACCATCATTTGGTTCGAAGAGGTTCGAACACATCGAGGTCAAAGTCAATCATGTTCTCGTCCTGAAATAGGGCATTGCTCTCTCGTTCTCTTCCTCGCCGATTAAGTGCGTCGCTTATTCTCCCTTTCCGTTAAGCGATGACTAATGAAGACTAGTAGAGAGTGACCAAGTATGGATATAACCATGGTTGTCATGTCGGTGACATGTCGGCCGTTTCAACCTGTGCCGGTCATGAAATCGATGTGACACCACCGGTATGACCGACATGATCAACTTACGAATTCTAAGCAAAAAGACATCATTTTAATGAATGTAATCAATAAAAAAGTTAATTTTTTATTCATTTTATGAATTTAATAGTTAAAAGTTGATTATATTTGTTGGATTGTAAGTATGTTGTACACAAATATGTTTTATATATGATTAAATACATTGAATATATATATATTTTTTTAAACCGGCATGAACCGACACAAAATGGTTATACAACCAGTCGTACCATTCCACTTGCCAAACTGGTTGGATATTACACTAATCTTACAACCACAAATAAATAAAATATTTTAGTAACCAAACATAAAACTTTTTAATAATCTCAATCACCAACCTTATAATTTACCAATTAACTATCTATGACCGCAAAATACTTTAAATTTATGCCTGGCGTGATAGTGCGAGCTTTCGTGCTAGTATGCTAGTTAATTAGCCAAAAACTTATTAACAGACCGTTTGAACAAAACAATATCCATTGAAAATCCATGTTCTAAAAAACGTCTTTGGTCCCATACGTAGAATATCAAAAGTGTTCTTGTGTGTTTCTATTCTATTCATTAGTTATTTTCTAATATTTTGTCGATAAACCCTACAATCTAGTTGTGCCTTCTTAATGTATTGATACAATTGAAGCATAAATATAAAATAACCAACACATATTACTAGCATTGCAATCAAATTCGTGGTGATGTTCCTCATACTGCATCAATCGGCGCCAATTAATATATGTAGAAGTAATTTAGTTAATACTTGATGAATTCATTTACAAATTCCATCTCAATTCCTCATAATTGATATAATCAGTTCCAATTCCGCAGAATTCAAAATTTAGAATTAAGAATAAATTCTTTTAAATACCAAACACAAAAAGATTTCATTTCAAAATGAATTTTTTAAGAATTATAAAATTCATTTATATCAAATGGTATGTAAAAAAAATTCATCAATCCAAAAATGCCCTAACCTACCGCACTTATCGCTAAAGGTAATATGATCACCCCAACTAATTATTGCTTTTTCTCTCTTATATACATTTTGTTTTCACCTTTTCAAAACCCTAGCTATAGTCCTCCGCCGCCGCCGCATGTATAGATGGATTACTCGGGATTACCAAACGAGATCATAGAGAAGATAGCCTCGCAGCACCTGGACACAGCAGTCTCCCAGCTCCTCTCCTTCTCCGGCGTCTGCAGATCATGGAGATCCGCCGCCTTCCTCCTCCGCTGCCCTCCGGTTTTGTTCGTCCCCCAAACCGCCGCCTCCGCCGCATCCCTATCTCCTGCCGCTGCGCCGAGAGGCCAAATCCATGATTTCGTCTCCCTTACAACACTCACGTCGATAGTTCCCACCACTCCACTACAGCCACCACCGCCGCCGTCAATCGCCCTCCCTCTCTTCCCGTCTCCCACCAAGATGTCGGACGTCCACGGCCAGCGCGATCGCTACCTCCGCCTCCACCAAGAATTTATCACCACCTTCCCCCGAGAAGGCGCGTCATCCTCATCCTCGTGCTCATCGTACTACGTCGAGGCTATCTCCTTGGCTTCCAAGGACGGCTGGATCCTCCGCCAACCCCCTTTCTACGGCAAATACCGCGGCCATCTCGACCTCTACCTCCTCAACCCATTCACCGGCGCCTCCATCCCGCTCCCTCCCCTCAAGCCGAAATACGCCTGCGTCAGGAAAGCCATCATCTCTTCTTCCCCTGACGACGACGACTGCCACGTGTTCACTCTTTCCACCAGGCAGAAGGACTTGTTGGCGTGGTGCAAGGTCGGGCGCTCAGGAGGCGGCGGCGGCTGGGCGTTCCCGCCTGAAAATTGCCTCGCAAAACGTTTGCGAGGCAATATACCCTTAGACGTCTCCTACTCCAACGGCAACCTCTACCTTGCAGTGGAAGAAGCTCTCTGGGTTGTCCACGACATCCTCAAACCCTCCTCCGCCGCAATTGGGCCAATTGTGAAGGCCTTCCCGTTCTCTCGCTACATGAAATCGTTCGAGGCCCGCAACTGCTGTCGTCCCTACTTGTGTCACCTCGACGGCGGCCGCGGCCAGGTTCGCGTTGTTCTCCCTGACTGTAACGGGGACTACTATGGGGACCACCTTGGATTCCGTGTGTTCAGGCTGGTGGTGGATGAGGGCAAAGGGCTCGATAGGGTTGTGGATTTTGATTGCGGTGAAGGTGATGATTATTGGGAACAAGTGTGGAGTCTGGATGGGCATGCACTGTTCATTGGAGCTCACCAATCCTTGTCCTTCCCAACAACTAAGGTTGATGCTACTATTGCTGATCAGGAGACTAGTCAGGATTTCGTTCAAGGTAGGTGGTCCGTAAAATATCTAATAAAATATTATGAATTGTGTACGAGTATTGACATCTTTTGTGCCATAATTCAGAGCCAAGACCCACCCGGTTTCAAGCTGGTTCTGTCCCTGTTGCTAGCAGTAGTACCACTGCTGCTAGTATGCTCAATCCGAATGCTAGGGGGATTAGAGGCGACCACATTTACTTTGCACTGAATCGTGTTTGTGAGCATTGGGAATCTTTTGGAGCGGCGAATCGGGATGGTGCATTTGATCTTGCCAATCGGAAGTTCCAGAGGTTTGCTCATGATGAACGTTACGGTGATAACAAGACGTGGGACCCCATCTTTTGGTTCATCCCTGTGCCCTGGTAAGTTAAGCTTTCCAGGCTTTTGTGATGATGTTCTCCTCGAGGAGAATAGAATGATGACCTTATTGTTCCGATAGCAGGGTGAACACTAAAAGCACTGCAAGCAAAAATGAACAGAGGAGAAAGAAGAAAGGAAAGAAGAAAAAGAAACAAATAACAGGGGCAGCAGAAGCCTCACAAGAGACACAGACGTCTACCTAATTAAAACCCAAGACATTATAAGCTCGTCGGATTTGATGCTCTTGGTTCGCTGATCTCCAGGATATAGCATGTGTTTGACGGAGCTACTTGCATCTAGAGATGCTATATATTGGTGCTTGTGGATGGTCGGCTGTGCGGAGTTTTAGTGTTGGTCAACTCGAGACGGTGAATTGTGTTGTGACAGTCTTTTAATATATTTTTTTTGGTAGAAAGTCTTTTAATATTTTACTAGCATGAGTCCGCTCGTTATCGCTTCGTGTCTTAGCAAGTACGTGATATTTGAAAAATTAATAGTTTAAATTTTCATCTAAAAGTAAAGAGATTGTCATCTACAACTCTATATAGTCGACACAACGATGAACTTTAATAAGTAAGAAGGGCCGTTGAGCAAATGATTCCTATGTTTAAGTTGTAAACACCGGGTTCAAGTTGTTTGGGTGCTCAACATAAAGGAAAAAGATAAATGAAAAACACTAAAGCGGATAAAATTTGCCCCATACCAAAAATTTTACTCACCAAGCTCAACTCACTTTGACTGATTCGAGCCGAGTTTTTAACAATTCACACCCCGATATATAAGTAGTGGGAGGTGGGTAAATGAGATTGTTTGAGGAACTAACATCCACCACTTACCTCTTTGCTACGTGTCTGCAAATGGGTAAAGCTCTAAATGGGAGTAAATAATTAGGGGTCTTAGCTCATACGCGTGGAATATAGGGAAGTATGCCATGTCTATTATGTTTGTGGATGGTAAGCTCTCCACCCAACCATGTAAATGAAGTAACACAGCTTCGTTCCTAGGTGGAAAATGGAGAGACATGAGGTGGAAACTTGTTGGGTTAATACTCAACTAAGCAATGAGAGGTGGGATGGGATGACTTGCCAAGTTGCCTCACCCTTTTCCACATGGGTTAAGTGGAAATAGACTAAGTGTGTGGGAGAGGATGATAGCATGAGTGTTTATTTGATTGGTGGGAGGAGTAAAAATAGAGGGTAAATCCATTGGATTTATTAAAATTTATCATGTTTATTCACCGGAAAATCTTAATATTAATGTTGGTCATTCTCATTAGTAAAGCGGTCTACGTCTAGTCACTTTCCGTTAGTCTATTGCTTAAGTGGCTAACAGAAATGCTGACTCACCATTCTTTTAACCCCCACATCATCAAACCCAACCCGCCACATCACTCAATCCGCCATGTCATCTTTTCTAACCCAATCCATAAACCCAACCAACCTATAAACTGGCCCCTATATCCCTCTCTCTCTCCTCTTTGCCTGTCCAGAACCCGCCTTTCTGGCACTTTATCTCAACGCAGCTGATGCTGCTCCGCTTCAAGATCTGAACTTCCGTCGGCGATGACGGTGGTGGCTTATTGCCATAACCCCTCAGGCAGCACCTTCAGCAACCCCTCGACCGAGACGGAGGTCCCAGTCGACACCATTGAGCCGAGACCGACCTCTACAGCGTCATGGTTCACAACAACTTGCAGATTCGCAGGGCACGACCCGTCGTTGACATCCAATTAGAAGGCGAATGCCCTTCTCTTGCTCCCTCCCTGTCTTGACCCATCTGCCAACCCAGATGCGCTGCCCGGCGATCCCAGCTCCTCCCTCAGGGCGAGAGACAATGGATCGAATCGAGACCTGATCGAAAAATGGATGCTTCAAGGCTAGCCCGACCGCCGCTTTGTCGATCAAGATAGTGTTGGTCAGCTCCGCCACCGGCAACGTCGTCATTGTGTCACCCATTTTCTCTTTTGGCAGAGGGCTTTGAGGATTGGCTTTGGCGCGTTTGAAAAATCCTAACAACTGGTTTGGTGGTGTTTATCGTTTGTTTATTTTCTGTGGGAGAGGAAATTGGCCGCTAAAGAACGCAGTCCCTGTGGGTGTGTATCAGAAACCTTCAGCACCAATGGAAGTTCTGATCTTGAGTAGCAACAACTGTATTGAGATCAAGCGCCAGAAAGGCGGGTTCTGGACATGCGAAGAGGAGAGAGAAAGAGGGATAGATGTGTCGGTTCATAGGTTGGTTGGGGTTTAAGAATTGGGTTGGGAAAGATGACATGGCGGTTGAGTGACGTGCCGGGTCGGGTTTGGTGATGTGGCGGGTGAAAAGGGTGAGTCAGCACTTCTATTAATCACTTAATCAATTGACTAATGGTGTTAACAGAAATTAATGGAGACTAATGGAGAGTGACTAAACGTGAACCGTTTTACTAATTCGAGTAACCAACATGAATAATAATTTCTTACAATGACTAAACATGACACATTAGTAAACCCAATGATTAAACGTAATATTTTCCCTAAAAATATACTTTCCCTTACCATTAACCCACAAATTCCCTTTCACGTGTAGAAAGAGTATAATAGTTTATGTGTTTGTTTCATTTGCTTGAAAGAAGTAGAAAACAATAGCAAGCAATCAAATAAAAGCATAAGGTGGTCTTTCTTTCTTATTCCAAGTGGGTTTACCATGGGGAAGTGACTTTGGTGTTATGCTTTATGTATATAGAAAAAACAAAAAGGTGTATTTTGTGCATTTTTTGTGTGACTAATTGGTTCCCGATAAAAGTAACGTTTATATGATATCGGTTGAATATCGGGTCCATCAATATCTTAATTAAAATTTTAAGAAATAACACTTACTATTTGAGAGATTAAGCAAGACTGAAAATAAAACCACCTTATTTGATTTGTTCTCAATAGCCATGAGGTGATAATCTGAAGATGATCTTCTTTTTTTTGTCAACAGATGCTTCTACTATGCTCATAGTCTGAGAAAGATGAGAACCAATTATGTAGCATCTACGTCGAGAATTGCTCTTTTGTGGGAGCTACCATTCCCTCTATCGCTTCTAAATGAAAGGGATGATTTCATAGTTCTTGGTTTGTGAAAATTGCTCTAACTTAATGGTAATTACGCACATTAGAGTGGAATATGTAGTAAAATAACTTTAAATACAAGTAATTTATCTTAATTTTGTATAAAGTTTGGATAGTAACAATGTTAACTTGATAACTACCAATGGTAGTGTATGTACCATATTAGCTTGGATTGACTTATTGTAACCTTCGTGATAGATGGTAACCTTCTTAGCTTGAGTAGTAACAAGGATGATAAAGTAGTATTAGAAATGTCGATGGTAGGATATTTTGTATTTAAACATACAATTTAACTGTAGTTCAATCATTTCATACAAACAAAATTCTAATTTCTATGGTTAATCAAAAATGCATTAAGCACTAGGACCCTTGTAACTAAGGATCCTCTCAGACATACAATGTATACTGATTACAAACCATCAACTGATAGAAACTTGCAAAAGAAGAAGGCCTATATACTATTGGAAACTAGGCAAAACATTTTACGTATCTATCCGACTATTAATCAAAATTTTCTAATCAATTTAAGTTTTGATAAACTATGTTTTTTATCTTATAGTCGATATGATACAATTTTGCAAACACTTTCATGTTGGCTTAGATTGTCAATCTACATCCTATCCTTTGTGACTTTAGATGGTGGCCAGACACCATATGCCTCGCTGGATGAGATGGTGACCGAGATCAATATTTTGGATAGGACTATCCACCCTCATTAAAAAGAAAAAAAATTCGATTTTAAAGAAGGGTTGTATTTAATGGTAATTGGATAACCAAACTATTACCCGACCCGGTAGTGCTTTTTTTTTTCTTAATATATTTTCACAATTCTTAGCAGAAACATTTTACTCATTTTAATATATTTTTCATTTTCTTTAAAATAATATATATAATTCATATGAATTTAATTATAATCTAGCATTCTTATCATAAACAAAATTAAAAAGAAAAACATTAGTGGTCCGAATCCATCATCAACCATAATTCATAAATAGATCCAAATTAGAATACATAAAATTTATGTTAGTGATTAATTGGATCAATTAGCAGTTAACTGTTTATGAATTGTATCAGTTAGCATCGTTAGTCAATCAGTCACATTCTTAGCGGTTAAAGACTAACTGAAAATTTCCTAACAGATTATCAACCCACTTACATACCATAAAGTGGTGAGGAAAATAAGGAATATAAAGGAGAGTTGACCGAATTTTTGGCAACTCATCGAATTTTTTAAGCTTGCACGGATTTTCAAATGTGTTGTTAAAGCACTTTTCAAATTTTTTGTAAAAAATCAACCGATTATAGCTCATTTATTTTACATCTTATTTCAAAAAAGTGGGTAGGAATATCATATTTTTTTCTTTACAAGATGATATCTATTTTAATAATTTAATTTTTTAAATTCACATCACTTTATCACTGTTCTATCATGATATTACCACTTATAGTGGTATAATGATGTTGTTCGTTTTACCATAGTGATAAGATCATGATATGACTGGTGTATGAGTATTGTTAAGGGGTCGTTTGGAAGTTGAGATTCTTCAAATATGTGTATTTGATGAATACATCTATTGTAAATACAAAGATTGTAAGAATTAGATGATTGGATGAATGTCTTGTTTGGTTGTACCATTCAAAAATTTTAAAGAAAAGAAAAAATCATTTTATGAGCTAAAAGTTAAACAAATTAAAGCCAACAATCTCAAAGGAAGAATCACACCTTTTTGTTGAGATTTAAAATGAGTGATTGTGGGTGACATGAGATTTGAGGGCCAACCTCAAATGCATGTATTGAATAAAGTTTTGGAACAGAAAAACGATGGATTCTCCAGAATACATGAATTCAGAGAATCATTCATCTAGAATCATAACTTCCAAACAACTCCTAAGTCTTACCATAGTTAGGGTTGGAAGTTTGGTACCGGTATTTGGGATATACCGAATATCGTACCGAATTTGTCTATATTTAGTATTACAGAATACACGTATTATTTCTTGGGATTGAGATTCGGATTGAATTTCAATTATTATTCAGTATTAGGTATTACGGGGTTGGGAGCGGTATATACCGAAATACCGATCAATACCGAAATATAAGGTAGTGTGTATTTTATCCTCACAAATAGACTCTCTCATTAACTACTACACGACCCTCAACCGCCAAGAGTGTCCTTAATTATACATAGATCATTCCATCACTACTTCACAACTTAGAAGTCCCCATCCAACTCAAATTTGACTTTCCAATTTAAGTCACTCTTGTTTCCCACCTAATATCTCTGGTTATTTTCATAACACCAAAAAGCAAACATTAGTATTAGTCGTCTCTCAACCTCCAATTCGTCAAATTAAAGATTACCAATTACAAGAACTTGAGATGTCACATCTCCTCCATTCTCCTTATCTGTATCCTAGCTCTAGGCAAACTCAAGACTATTTGCTTAGTCTCTTTGCCCTAAATTAAATAATAAAATCTCATTTTTAATTTAATTTTTTAATTGCAAAGGTAATTAATTTCTTATTCGATAATACCGATTGGGATACCGAAATATTTAGGGATTGGGATACCAAAATTATTTAGGGATTGGGATTGAGTTTAGGGTGTAATTCTGTATTCAGAATTTCACTATTTGGTATTGGGATACGATGGTGTACCAATTTCCACCTCTAATCATAGTGGTGCGATGTTGATATGATAATGGTATGATGTTGATATTAGATCTTATGTTTGACCAAGGTTGTAAAACCGGTTTCTACTATTGTGTTGGTTTGGCAAGTAGTATGATATAATAGGTAGTACAACCAGTTCATGCCGATTTTATCAAAGCATGTAGGGAAATGAAAAATCATTAATACTAAATGAATTTAGCCACATATATAACAGATTTGAAGACAATATCTCTAAAATCTACATCTATATTTAAATAAAATACCACATTCCAAACAAAATGAAACTCCTCATATTTAAATACAATATTTAAGCCAACATACAAAATTTTACACTTGAATCCAACAAATAATTTCAACATTTAACTTTCAAATTCAACAAAGAAACAAATATATATATATATATATATATATATATATATATATATTAATTAAATTCACTAAAACGACATCAATTTGTTTAAAGGTCAGAAACTAGGAATGGCAATGGGGCAGGTCCGGGGCGGGTATCTCGATACCCATACCCGCCCCATGGCAGGTCGGGTCCAGGTCGGGTAATTTATTACGGGGCGCGGGTCGGGGCAGGTCGACCCATTGGGTATGTAATTTATGTGAAAAACATTAGAAATATTCGTTCTTTTCATTGAAAGACCAAGAAAGAAACCATAATATGATAAAATATAGTTAAATTATTGAAGAAATTGAGGTTTTCACTTATTTACAAATTTATTATAGCTAAAATATACTGTAATAAGAGGAAAATCTTAAGTAATTTAACTAATATTATATGTAATTTAGGCAAGAACGGGTCGAGAATGGGGCGGGTCAGGGCATGTCGGGTCGATGAGAGGTACCCATGCCCGCCCCGCCCCGCCTACGGGGCGGGTTTGACCCGCCGCAAAACAGGTCAAACAGGTCGAGTAAATCGGGTCAGGTCAAAATTGCCATCCCTATCAGAAACCTATCATGTTGGTCACAGAAGGGGCATTCCAACCGGTTTTGTAACCGATACTGGTTGACCCGGTTGTACCCGACCAGCATACCACAAGCATGACAACCATGTGTTTGACAAAATAATTTGATGACATTAGCGATAATATAATGATATGATAGTGGTATAATGTGCAGTCAGACTTAACGTAGTGGTAAGATCATGATATGAAAATGATAAGATTACAGCAAATACGTGTTTTAAAGAACTTTTTTTGTGCTCAAAAGAAAACAAAATGGATATAATATAGCCCATGATTAATACCTTCTCTTTGAGTTAAAATGAAAGAGACAATTCATCATATCATGAATGTGATAGTGATAATACTACAACCAATATGTGTTTTGAAGAACTACATTTTTGCTAAAAGTAGTAAAATGGATATTGTTGTGTTGTTGTGTATATCTTAATTAATGTATTCTTTCTATGCAATTTTTTAAAATTCTGAGTTAAAATGAAGAAGTTATGACCCGATTAAAATGAAAGAAGATAACGAAGAAAAAAAAGTAGCATTTGACTTGTCAAAAATCTCTTCTATCTCCTATGAATTTCATGTAAAAAAAAACAAACAGCGGTGCGGTATTACTAGTCCCTCCTCCTTATCTCTTGATGAGTTTTGACTCGTCAGATGTTATTAAACTGAAAGGATGGAGATTGAGGTTTGTAGTGGTTTTGTAATATGTGATTTTATACTCTGTCCACTCCCTTGAAATCAGGGCAGTGCAACGGTTCGGTTCGAAATGAATCAAACCAAACTCATGAGAATCACAGTCTAATAGTGAAAGACATTTTGAGGGCAAATACTAGATCAACATTGCATTCGATCCAATATGGGCGGAGCTACTTTGTAGCAGGAGTGCCCCCCCCCCCCCCCCCCCCCCCGAGATTAGTCCCGGCCCTTAAGACCTTAAGTATATTTAGTACAAAATTTAT